CACGCGGGGTGCCTTTGGGACAGGCCGAAGCAAGAAGACCGGTGCCTGAGTCGGGTGTGAAACATGCCAACCAGGCCATCAAAAGGCCGGAGGGTCTGAAAAGGCGGAAACCAGAAGGAAAACCACAAATTTTGGGGGTACCCGAAGAAGAAAAAGAAAAAAAAGCTGAGCCCTCCAAGTCCATGAGCCTGAGCCGAGCTGGGGCCACAGCAGAAGCTCCAGGCCAGGATGCCGTGCCGTCATCTGGCTCTCGGATCCGTTTTGAAGGGCTTGGACTCAAGTGGCCAGCCAGAGGAGGGGTTGACTGTAGACATGCCCAGCAAAGTCAATGCCTTGAGTTATAAAAGCCAGCAAGTGCCCTAGCTGTGGTACCATGATTACAGTCACGGAGCATAGCACATCACGCTGCTCAGTCCTTGCATCTTGTGGGGAAGATCCTCGCACCTCCGGAAACCAGAGTGGAGATACACTGGCAGAACTCGCACGGTGACTTTGTCAACCTTCTGCTTGGGCATCTCTTCAACCCGGACACATCGATCGAGCGAGCTCACTAAGCTCACTGCCTTGATTCCAGCTCGCAGACCGCTGCGAGACCGGGCACGGCCCTTTCACCAGCAATCCTTGAATCCGTAACGCTGTCGATCTGCAAGATGAGCTTCGAGACAAACATTAACAACATTAGTAAACGCGAGTGTGAGAGAGTGCGGCGTTCTCATCAGAATAATAAGGAGCGGTCTTCAAATTTGGGCTTGCCTCCACCCCCTTCTCAGGAAATCTAACGGACCCTGCACGTCCTAGGCAGGCAGTCTAAAAGGAAAGGGCATTTTCAAGGGTGGGTTCTGGAGGTTGTACACTAGACGGTCTTATATTTACGTTATAAAAGCCTCACCTAAAGTCACACCTCAAAAGGCCCGGGCCAAATGGCAATCCCTGCTCCAAACGTCCAACCATCGGAAGCCCAAAGCCCATCTGATATCGGAACTGCACCGGGAGCCACTCCAGACCAATCAGCTGATGACGTAAGGGCAAAAATGCGAAGAGGTCGTGCATGCTGCTTGCAAGCGCAGCACACACTTTCTGGAATCGAAGTTGCTGCGAATCTGGAGCATCCGCAGTTGAAGCTCCGACAGGCCCAAGTCTTATCCTGGATTGGTCAATTAATTGGTCTGGCACCAAACGAAAAATCGCTGGATGTGTCCTCTCTGGCCTATTGAAGCGTCTCCTGCGCTACCTGTGAAACTGACCAATTTCTCGTCCACATCACCAGTCCTGACTCCTGGCATTGCCCATCGCGGCACACGCCAAGCGCCTGTATCCTTTCGCATGAGGCGCCATTTTTCGGACGAACCCCCGCCTAGTAGTTGCGGATTGCTCTGTCCACATTCGCCTGGCGCTTCTTTGTCACTCCGCGCCGCGCATCTTGCGACTCGTGAGTCGTGGGAGTACGCGCCTTGCAAATGGGGCAGTCTGTGCAGCGACGCAGCCATTCGTCAATACATCTCTGATGGAAGACCTGCAGTCAGTCAGTCAGTCAGTGTGCCCTAAGAGCACATGACACGGCCAACAAGGCCTTCTATTTGGGGCTGTGGGATAGCTTCCTGTCCCGGCCATTGAGTTCTGGGAGCCCAGCGTGGTTGCAAGGAAGCCGGCGGCAAGGCACAGACAACTCGAAGTCCTCGAGGCATACCTCGCTGTCAAACTGGGCCACTCAAAACCAGCCCAAGAAACCAACCAATGCCCAAAATTGCTCCAAATGTGGGTAAATGGGGAACGCCTGACATGAGGCCTCACTGTTGCTTTTCAGGGGCCAGCTAAAAGGAAATCACCTTCCAGAACCTCCAAACCAAATCCCGGCGAAACAAGACGGCCTTTTCACGTCGGAAAGCCCCAAAAAAAAGAGAGACTCGTTCAAGAGCCAAGGCGCCATGCATGTACGCTGTGTGGCATTGTCCGACGGTGGCCAAGTGAACCTGAGACAGGCGGCCGGCCGGTGGCCAGGACCCTGTCGGATCAAAACGCCGCCTTGGGATCTCATCGATGGTCTGAGGGAACAATCCCCGACGCTGATTCAGCATCTCCTGCCCGTCGTTTGGTGACGAATCGTCCGTTTCAATCCAAAAAAATGTCTCCGAGATCCGATCGTCCGCCTCCACCAATTGCTTGCTGGTTCGATAGGCAGGGCATAAGACATGGAAGGGTCCCTAGAAAAACCATCCAACCGATTTGGTTTCCTTTCAGGGAATCCCAAAACGGTCCATGCCCAACAGCCGGACGCGGTCAGATCCTCGACTTCCCGGGTGGTTCGCTCAGAGCTCAGCAGAAGCATCTGCAGGCCCTGGGGCAGCTGCGCCACCTGGCAAAAACTCGAATCGAAAACACTGCCAGAAACATATGGCCATGGGTCAAAAGCCAAATCGTACCCCAGTGAACATCCGATTCAGTCCGCCACTAAAATAGCCCAAAATGGTACCATTGGTTTTCACAGCCATATCCGGATCCGCAGAAGTGAGTGCGAATCCCTGAAGAAAGCCAGCCCAAAATAGGTTGCCCTGGCAAATGGAAGCATGGACTAAAAGTTGCTATCCTGGTGGTTTAATGTTGACCCATGCCCATATCATGATAAATGGCTGGCCATTGGCCTGGGTCATGAGATTCGGCGGCAGCAAGTTCCGCAGCGAAGGATTCAAATGTCCCCTCGGATGTCGCGTGATGGCGATTGCATGCTGCTTGTTCGCGCTGCAACTGATTCCTGATTGCTGCACCTTTTGCTAGTTTCGAATAATACAAAAAAAAACAGAAGCATCATCATATCATCATCATCATCATCATCATCATCATCATCATCATCATCATCATCATCATCATCATCATCATCATCATCATCATCATCATCATCATCATCATCATCATCATCATCATCATCATCATCATCATCATCATCATCATCATCAGCCCGCATGTCTCATTGGTGTTTATGTGCGCCCCTGCATGGCCCACCACCAGATTTGAGGGGAAATCTGGTTGCAGGAGCTCAAATACCTCTCAAAACAAACCCCCGGCATTGCCAATGCCACCGCGGCGCTCGCAGAAGATCGTGGTGCCCTTGCCGATGCGGGCCACTGCTTCTGGCTCACAAGCCACGACCTGCGCTCTGTGTGGGACCAGATGTTCTGGACTGAGCCACCAACTTTGGTGCCTTGAACTGTACCCCCTGGTAGGAGAAGAAGTCATTTGCCTGAGGGAGTTCTTTGCCCGACGCGCAACCTGCAGGAAAACCCACCGGCCTGGTATTTCCTGTGTGGATTTGCTACCAGGAACGGCTTCAGGTAATCGCTGAAGAGCTCATACTCATAGGCACGTGGAAGCGTATCCTGCGGGAGCACAGCGCATGAGTCCTGCAGCTTCCTCAGTGTTCCCTCAGAAAAAGCTCCGTCAGAAAGCTCCATGAACAAAAGCTCCGTCAGAAAAACTCCCGGTCCAGAAAAGGAAGAATGTGCACCTTCTCGAATTCGGGGGTCGTGTCCCAGTTCGCGAAGATCTCCGTGTCGGTCTGGAGATATCGGGAAAGCGTGGCATGGCTCGAATCAAAGCAGACTGAGGCCCTTGCAGAGACCAGCCCAAGACCTGCTGGCTCTGTGGCCTCTACCTGCAGGCAAACCTCGCCCACCTGGCACCGCGCTAAAAAAACAAGGCGCTTCACAGGCTTCAAAATCACACCCATGCGGTCGTGGAAGCAAAATTCCTCTAATTGCCTTGTGTCCGCGGAAGTGTCAAACGGTTTTCCACCACAACGCTCGTGGAAGATACTTCTGCAGGCCCATAGATTTGTTTTTTTGCCTGAGCTGCGGGCCTGGACCACTTGGCCCATGTAGAGCAGCCGCACTCTTTTGGCACCAGGGCCATATGGCGCGTACCTTGGCTTCCCGCGCGCCGACCAGGCGCCGACCAGGCGCCCGGCGCCTCGAGCTGGTGCCAGCTGATGAATATGTCCGGCCCCCAAATGACCATCGGCAAGCTACATCGATGTAAAAGGGAAAATCTCACTTGTTTGGTGTCGCCATCCCAAAGGACCCTGTTCTTTTGGCGTTTCGCCACTCGAGGCGATGGGAATCCCATGGTGCTTCAAGGCCCGGACTCACCTTTGAAGTAGGGCCTGACATACCTGGGATGCACCACGCTTTTCACGCCCCGCGCCAAAGCTGACTGAGGCCCCTTGCTCATTAAACAGCTGCTCAGAGGACAACTCCGTCGGGCCCCAGGCACTGACAATGCTCTGAAAGACGCACAGAGCGCAAACTGGGAGGACTCACAAATGAGTGTGGTTGTCAAACATAGGCACCCAAAATGGTAAATGGAAACAAGGACTAAAAGCTGCGATTCCTTGGTGGTGGAATTTTGACCAATACCCCAAAGCAAAAAAGAAAAACAAGCCACGTGTATCTGGCCCTTCCTGAACTGGATCTTCTGAAAGCTGATCACTGGTGATCCATCCACAAAGAAGTCCTGGCGCGGAGGCAATTCTTCAGGACTTCATGCTGCAGGGCAGCTTCATGACCCCTCACTGACTCACCCCGTCACCGGCGGCATCATGCTCAATGACTGAAGCAGAACCGCAGTCGCTCCGTCTCCATGCTCAAGCAGCCCTCTGGAGGATCGCACCTGGGCGCAAGCAGGCCGACAAAGTCGAGGCAATTCAGCCCAGGGTGCATGGCGCATCTATGATACATATATATATATATATGCATATATATATATATAACTATATATTAAATAGTATAATAAGTATGTACTGGGCGTCTCAGAGCTAAATTACACAACCGCAAGGTATCTGCAGAACATCTTCCACTCTGAGAGCCAGACTTGATGACCACGAACTCTGCATCTTGGACTTTCACCAAGTCGCCCGAGCGAACTACCTCGCTGCAAGTCCCGCAACCTCCCGATTCATGTGCCGACTGCCAAGAGGCCTCCTTCGCATTGCGAAGCTGCCGGAGTGACTCGGCCAAGAACTCCATGCGACCTTTGTTCAACAGCCGTGTCTAAAGTCTGGGCCAATCCAAGATGGCTGTGGCTCAAAAAAGTGGTACCAAAACGGCACCTTGGTAAATGGAGCCGACCCAAACCTGCGTGGCCCTTGCTTAATTTCGAGATCCAAGATCTGAAACATGAGAAAGGTGTCCAACTCGGAGATCTCAAAGGCCCAAGCTTCGGCCCTTGAGCTGAGCATCCGCCTGCGAGTCGACGCATCAAGGACCTAAGAGTTGAATCCTGGCCTCCTTGAGGGGCAGAATGTGGAGTCTCTTGATATCCTCGGACACGTCCGACTCAACAATTACACAAGGCCACTGCCATGGTCCTCCTCGCTTTCCGCATTCCTGAGATGAAGCACAGCTGAAACCTAAAGCATGTGATTTTGGCAACAACACACCCAACCTAGTGAACTACAAACTATCCGGAACTTGTATTTGTGTGTGTGTGAAGTGTCGACAAGGCAAGTCCAACTGTAGTGAAGCCTGCCCATCAGTGTATCGCACACACGCAGTAGTGCATTGGAAAATACCCGCAGCTGGGTCTCAAGGCAACATGACGCATCGAAAAGCCGCATGTGCAACAAACACAATTCATTGTTTTCCCCAAAAGGACAGTGGAAAACTGGATGATCGTTGTTCTTTTCTGCGAGCTTAGACTACCAATTTGAATGAACAGGCAGCTTCGCCCCACCTGAGCTGTACGAGGTTGTAGGATCCGAAAGTGGGGGGTTCGACCCCCATTGGGTCGCATCAAAAGGACACGGGAGCTCAAAAGGAAGGGCGATCGATCGCCCATGTTCCAAATTTTGACTTGCCCTCCCACTAACATGGAAGTGCACAACCCCCCCTTTCCAAGAGAAAGGTAGTCTTTCTACAGGGTTTGTGCACTTCCACGTTAGTTGGTGGAAGGGTAGGAGGATGCTGGATGTTGGATCCACAAAAGGAAATAAGCCAGAAACCTGTCCAGCCTAGAAGTGTGAATCCAACCCCCATTCTCTGAATACCGGACCCCGCACGGGTGTGCAATTTTTGGGAGGAACCCTCTGCTGGCTGGTTTTAAGGGACAACCAAAAGGACACCACCACATCCTATGGGGGTCCTCTAAAAAAGACACACCCGTGTCTGACCCATTGGCAACTTGCAGTCATGAGGCGGCCGTTCCGCGCCGGATGAACTCGATGGTGCTGCCTGACAAGAGGGGTCTGAGTGAGTGTTTCTCCGCGGACACCCCATCCTTTTCCAGGGTTGAGGTTTCCAAGAACGGGAATCTTGAAACAATCTTGGGGAGCAAAACCAAATCAAGCGAAAACAATGTCCAAGCCTTAGCTTCTGGGCTGGCAGCAACGTCGTCGACCCCCATGGTGGTCGATGCGAAAATCGGTTTTTGGGAACTCCTTTGAGCCATGCGCAGAACGACAATGCCACGGCACAAAGCTGGAACTGGTTTCTGTACTGTTTCCGCTGCACAAATTGTCTAAACACAAACGAGACGCTTTGGTTCAAGAATTGCACCAGCATACACCCAAGATAGCATGGGAGATTACAATAGCACCTTGACCAGCACCCGGGTTGTATCAAGAACCACCAGCAACTGCCCCGGCACCTTGAGTCCCCAACTCTGCGACACGAGCCGCGCACCCAGCTCACCCTTTTCGATCCTGGCATTTACCAAAGGTGGCGCAGAAATTCGGTCATTCCAACGTGGTTGCAACCAAGAGCCCTTAAACTTCCAACGTTGAAAAGGCGGGGCTGTAAAAAAAACATGTTGAAAGCGGTGCGGAATTCCGTCCGTCCACAATATTTTGTGATGTTGGTTCTGTCCGCAAGCTGCTTAGCGTTTCACGAGAGACCAAAGCAATGTTTATTAACATTTCGAAACTTTTGTCAAAAAGCAATGATGAATGTGATGATAATGATTATGTTGATATACCAATTAAAGAAATAAATATTTAAAAAAAAAAAAAAAAAAAAAAAAAAAAAAAAATGATATCTGACATTTTTGGTGGTGATAGCAATCATAAAGTTGAATATATATCACATAATGCTACAATGTGCACATCCATATATAAAATCAATTACGACACACTTATGCACACACGTGCTTAAATATTTATTTGCCAAATATCAATTGTGGTTGTTAACGTTATTCGGCAAATTTGCATCCAAAACACTGGAATTGAGATTAATAATGCTATCTGTAATATTATTGTCTGATTGTGATTTTGATTCAGTTGTATTATCGTCACCAGTACCCAAAGGAAATGTGAGGTTGCTTTCGTTCCAATCCACAACACGCCTGTCGACAAAGGGATCTGCAGCCACATATTTCAAGGCACAACAAAACCAATGTGAACATCACACGCATCCCAAACATGCCAAACGCAGCGGCTGACAGACTAGCTCTGCGCAAACTCTCCATTTGAACAAATCCGCACGCCGAGCAAATTGTGTAGCACGTAGCTCCGGAATG